GCCCTTCCAGTAACCGTCGAACACCGTATCTTATCCATTCTCATCTCTTCATCTCTCGCCTTAAATCCAGGTTAGTCATGGTGTAATTTGTTTTACTGATGCATATACTCGGTGTAATGTTATTGCATCATAATATTTCATTCACCATTTTCCCGTCGATTTTCGCCTCGTTGTACTCGTGTGACATAAAGGTAGCATCTTAATATTTTTGTATGGTCAAGCGGGATTAACCCGAGAGTACTTTGGACACTGCAGTTGGGCGTTTGGTTTGGCGTCAGGGGGCTAGGCCTTTTCCAGCCAGCAGCAGGACTCCCAGCATTCCTCGGCACGGCGTGTCCCCTTGAGGGTGTGTGAGCACCCTAATTCCCACGTTCTGCCGTGACTGGTGCGAACAGCAAAAGGCACCTCGTCACGACAACGATCATCTCGTTTTTGATTTGGCATTGGTCATTGGTCATGTCCGACTTACACAAGAACGTTGAGTGTAGATTCGCAGTGATTCGCAGTGATTAAGATGAAGGTAAAGTGACTGAAAAAAATGAAAAACAATCGCCCAACAAGTCGCGGTTCCGGCGGTTACGCTCATCCATAATTTTGGCTCGCCCGGCACACTTATTTCCGTATTTTTAATCTGATCTTCAATTTCAGTTACACGTTTGTGATCTTTGCTATAACGATTGCCGCTTTTATTTTTGGTACTTTCCTGGTCTTTATGAGCATGTTCTTGATCACAGAAGTCAGTCTCAATTTCAATACATCTGACTATGTAAAAGTATTTTGCATCCAAAGTGAGTTTAACTGTTTGTAGATTCCAGAACCGGTCCAGGAATCTTGGTTCTATGGTTGAACGGCTTTTAAGCTTACTACTTGGCTTGCGGGGATTAGCTCCAATAATTCCGTCTCTCTAACTTCAATGAAACAAATAGGAGAATGGAAAGAACGTTGCTGCCATGTGCAAAAATCGGAGATCGTCGTGTTCTGATCGGGTCTCGCCTTGGCTAACCGAACTTTTTCATCTTCCTGCTCGATTGAATGGTTGTAAGAAACCAACGCGGGGTACTGACGGCTTATGTGCCGGCAAGTCGCACAAGTTGTCCTGTGGGAGCCGGAAAGACATGTAATCTCCATTTTGACACCGAGTGGAAGTCGAGGACGTGGCCCACTTGAAGTGAGGTCGCCCAATACCAAGAGCTCTATCATTATTTATCCTTCTTTTCAAAATTTGCACCGATTCGTCTCTTTTAGGCTCTTCCAATTGTTTTATCGGCAATTGTTTGTATAGTTTTTATATTCCATATAGTTCTCGATATTCAGGTACGATTCTAATTCACAGCTTCTTTTCCCAAATGCTCTTTTGACACTTTCAGAACCCCTTTTTCAACTAAAACTGTCTTCCTGGAATCGTTCGCATACTTTTTTCAGATGATTATGGGTGAACGGCGATATAAGATTTCTCCTGAGGAATACATCTTTACTTCTCTGATGCTATTTGTTGATATACACGAAATCTTCTTCAATATTTTGAACCTTTTTGATACGACCGATTATGAGAATAGGTCTACTGTAACATACTGTAGAGTCCAAAAGAATGGACAGTACCTTAATGTTTAGAATACTAACCGGTTCAAATGAATCATTAATTCCGTTTACTTGTGGAGAAGCAAATGTTTTCAAAAAACACCTCTCGAGCGTTCGCTCGGAACCGATGAGGTCATATGCATACGGAACCTCAAAATTGGACAGTTACAAGAACTCCAGGGAGTGGACATATCGAAACCATTTATGCAAAGCAAGCGGAAAGAGTTTTCACCCGAAATCAAGCAATGTCAATTGGGTGGAACAGCGCAGTGGAAGCGAATTATTGCTTTACCTATTGATGGCTGATTTTCGCAAGGTTCATCGTTCGAGGATTCAACTGGCGTTCCAGTACAGCTCACTCTGTATGTACATTTGCTTCAGCCTTTCCAAGATTTTAAACTTTATAGGGCTAACGTTTCGGCGAGTTCGCCCTCGTCAGAGCCGAAAAAGTCGAAAAACTATTAAGACTGGCCCTATAATAAGGCGAGATGAACCTAAAACAGTTCTTTAGACTTTAGTATAGCTCACTCAGTGTTTTCGCATTTTGCGGTCTCCCTTTCATGACCATATCTACATATCTACTCCGGAACGTTAACTTACATAAGTACTACTTGCTCGACGCTCAAGCCGGTGGCCAGTGAAGGATAGTATTTCGTTGATTCCCAGTATTTGACACCTCCACTTCCACTATCCAGTCACGCTGCAAACGCACTCTCTCGCCTCGTGCGACGCCTATCCCGTATCGAGTTAGTGGTTCATGACTTCGACACCTGATTGTGTAAGGGAATTAGGTATACCTCTGTGAGTACACAAGATATGTAGTTTCTCATATATTCATTACATGAGGACTTAGGTACATTAGGATTGGATAAAGTGGAGAAGAATAGGAGAAGATGTCTATTTAGTTATGACGATGAACCAAAGGGTCAGGACCTAGCAACAGCAGCGACCTCCTTGCTAAAAAAGAGCAGTT